GTGTTGAGATTATGATGGATCTGCATTTGTGTTAAGAAGCAGGGAATTGATTTAATAGCGGCCGAACTTTTATCTGAGATCCAATAGCGTGGACCGCCATATGGTCCGTCTTTTAGTTTCCGGTAATAGACCTTGCTTTCATTCTTATTGTCATCTTTGGATCAATGTCTGGCCATCAACTCAGGCTGCCTTATTTCTCTTTGGAGCGATTAAGTATATTTCATTTCGTGAGTTTGAAATGCGGGGTCAACGGTACTCGAACACACGCTGGCAGAATCTTTCCCGGAACAGTCATTCTATGCCTTAAGGTTTCTTTAAGTAGGGCACACAGGTGATTGATAAATTTTGCTGCCATCAGAGAGCCTTTTATGTCCAGCTTGGGACGATTTGTAGATGTGAAATGAAAAGGATGGTGCAAGGCAAAAGAGAGCGTCGTTTTCCAGAAAACGGAATGAATTCTGGGAGATTACATTGGGATGATGGGTGGTTATGGCTGAAATCGTTTGTATGAATTCATGTAATTTTTGGCATAGGACTGATGTATTGCATGCCCCTAATGTACCTTATATTGTATCCAAAAAATCTTTTATTCAATCTATGGGTTGAACCAGGTATATATCTAAAGGCTATTATCAAGGGCTAGCCAGTGAGTTTGGGACTAATAGGTTTGGGCCACTGCAGACCAGTACCTACATGTACATATTGTACAAATCATGTACGTACCCTTGTGCTTATTGATAATTTTGGTGCCCTGGGTCTTAAATGATCTACAGGAGGTATGGATCTGCTTTTTAAACAAGCAAGTCAGACCAGCGTACAAGTGACCACTTCTGCATAAGGACCACTGGCCACAGTGCCTAGATTATTATTCCCCATTGACCCACAAGCATTACAAATCCTGTCTATTGTGGTCACCTGTGTACATTGAACATTTCCTTCAGTGGTCCCCTTAAACATGTTAGTTAGACTGTACCTAAAGTGAAATTGGGGGATCTAAGGACATCGACCGAGATTCGAACCCTCTGCCTTTAGTTACAGAAGTGGGATAATTGCTAACTGTTGAGTCATGCCAAGCTTCTTGTCTTAATCTTACGAAGATGAACCTAGTGCCCGCTGACCAGTTTTAACCCAATTCTGTATAATGAGGACATAAACCAGAGCTAAGATAATGAGATTAGCAAATTCCGGGATTAGGGCCATGGGGTTGGTCAATCTTGGGGCACACAATTAGCCTGGGTGCCATCCTGTTTAGCTTGTGTCTGCCCTAGCAGACATAGCTGGTGAAAGCAACTATTGGAGCAGACACTGTGGCTAACCTAGATGGCACCCAGCTAACTGCTAACCACTGGGCAAGAAAGAGGACCTGAATCTTCAGGTTTAGTGCAAGTAGTATTGGAGCCAAGTTGTGCCTGCCAGGTATTTTTTTGCAATTACACTGACTCATGTAATACATTTCATTAACTTCTACCACCTGTAAAAAGCCAAACAAAGAATTGACAAGGTTTCTAAACTTAATCAGTCCTGACTTCTTGTTCCTGACATCTTTTACTGGCAGCAATGGTTTGAGCTTTCCAACCATTAGCCAGAAGAAACGAATATTAGGTGAAGTTGTAAAGAAGATGCCATTGAGTGGTGCAGATCTAGATAAGCTCTGTCTAATGCAGGTAATTTTGAATAACGTTAATATGCAATGATACAAGTGTATTTTTGAGCCCAGTTGACAGACAGTAGCCGATGTGAAGAGTTGGTGATTCTGGTCAGCATCTCTTTCGTGCCTCTTGCAAAAGCATTGTCATCAAATGCTGACTTGCAATTCAAGACAGCGCATCACTACATGAACACGCTCCATAAGCTATTCATATACAATAGTGTGTTCATATCTTGGATGACAAATTGCAACTGTCACGTAAAGTCCTCCATGGACCAGTTTCGGGGGCAATGCCTTGATAGCATTTTACATTTGTACATATTGCGTATTGGCAAGACAAACTGGTCAAGTTTTCAACTTTTTTGGGAACCTTGGATTAATAACCTTCTATAACCGTTTAGTACCAAATTTGTATAAAATATGATAAATATTGTTTATGGGGTAAGGCAGTAGGGAGAAGGTTAAGTACATGTATTATTCTAATTGTAGAGGTTTTGGAGTGATGGGCAAGTGACGAAATCTCATCACTAAATGCATACATTCAGCTGCTTGGACATTTATCACTATCATTCGGGCCCTTCTCTAAATTAGCCTCATTTCTACGCTGTATATTCTTCAAACTCTGATGCCATTATTAAAAGAGCTTAAAGAAGACAAAGAATCGGCCATTTCCATTCACAGCCATTAGCCCTGTGATGTGCCCTGCCAGGGAAATGAAGAGGGAACCCGCCAATTTGGGGTTAGTTTAGATCGCAATGAAGATAGAGAGAGAAATGTCTCCAGGCCGAATGTTCCGCGTGAGAAAGATTACCCACCTCAAGGTTAGACAATTTGGAAGCCGCCAACTTTACATTCTCCGGAGCAGAAGGAATTAGACGACGAATGTTGAGTTATCAATGAAGACAGAAGAGGCAATGGCGAGCCATTTCAGCTCCACCAAACTACGAGAGTAGCATATCATAACCAACTGATTTAACTATGGGGCACTGCTTGGAACCAGATGAAGCTCAAAAAGTGTATAAGCTCCATCTGTTCTTATACTAACAGCAGTCTTATAAGAAGCAAGAAGTTGAACCTGTTCATACTAGTATACATTAGTGCTCTTGTAGATAAGTAAGATACAGTACCTTGAGCTGCTTTATCACCTTAGTGACCTGTACTTAGCTTGTAAGAGTATATACCTACATTGTACAATAAAGGACTTTCATTCATTCATACCGTCATACCAATGAGGTGATGAGGCTATTACGGCAGCCCCTAGATATAACTTTTCTTTTGCATTCACAGGCCGATGATATTGGTACCGTGAAGGATAGCAATTCCTCTTTCGAGTACAAGCACATTCACAAGCACTCTTCTCCATCAGTCTTCATTGTCATGGCCAATCTATGGAGCAGGAAATGGGAAAACATTCCACGTTTCGCAGCCATTGCCAAAAGATGTATTCATGGCAGGATTACTTGGAAGTGGGGGCGTGTTTCGTGCGGGGTCCCCGCTTTTTCGCGAACGGTGGCGGCGATCCCTTGACTTCTCCTGTGTGTGCCTCTCAACCTCGGGTGCCCATTTTGCTCGCAGATTAAATTGTAAGGTAGCGTACTGCATCTCTTTCTTTCCAACCAATGACTAGGAGAGATGCAAAATGCATCAGACACCGATTGAGGGAAGGTCAGGCCACGTCTAATGTTGTAAAGGACTGCAATCATTCTCGGGAAGCTAATGAAACACTGTCGATTCTCCAACCACTTCACGGCTACCGATCACACGTCAAATAGGGCTATTTACTCATTCTAGCAGCAGCATCCTGCCGGCTGAATTAGCCCATTCAGATTAGCTACGGTTTGTTCTTGGCAGGGAAAATTGTTCAACCTTTGCTTGCTGCCCCTCTTTCCTGACAGGTTAAACCAGGGTGGTGCAACTTTTGGGCGATAAAAAAAAGATATGACAGGTACTCAATCAGGAGTTTCATGATTGATGTCGCTTGAGATACTACTGACAAAGATCAATAAAATGAAAGCCTAATAATTATGTGTGGCCACTTTCCTGATATCTGGCTCTCTTTGTTCACCCTAGGTTTGAATTCATCACGATCGTCTGAATCCCGTGCTGTCCATCATGAGACTGAAATCACACCTGGATGCTTTCCAGTTCCAACACAGTGAAAGGGAAAACAGGGGCAATTCAAGTGACAATGGTTGAGATGAGTTTTCTTGCAGACTGTACTAGTGACGTTCAAATGGTTACATTATTAGTAACCTCCATTAACATGGTACGTATAGCAAATCCCATATTGGGGTTTCTATCTGCACTTTGGTAAATTTCAAAGCTCAAGCATTGTAGAGATGTACTGACCCCAGAGTAACCACCATTGGATATCCAATCAAAGCTCCAAGAATATATGCAAAATTAATATGGATACCAATATGGCAGACAGTATTTACTGCTGCAATGGTACTGGCAACATTACCTTGAAGTATGGAAACCCTTTTGATTGATACAAAGTCTGGCATTACGAGTCTCTTTCAAATTTGCAGAGACGACGGAAGAGTCTTGGAATACGTTCGGAAACCCTAACAAAGATTGAAGGTCACGTGACTGGATATGCTCTGCAGGGATAATTTCACACCCCATATATTCATCGTTCAGTCGCTGGGCGTGACAAGTTTTCTTACACTGTCACAAGACGCAGTCTAACGTACACGTCACACACACGGCACCACCTGATTTGCAGGTCTTGGTAACTTCAAATGACTCCGGGCTCCATAAATACTTTATGCCGTGTGATTCGAACTGGAGATGAGGCAATAAAGAGAGAATTTCCAGATGGCTTTGGCTCGCTTCATGGCTGACCCCATTTTATGGGGGAGGTATCTTGAGCTTTGGATCTGTATTCAAGGCCAAATGTTGACTACTGTGGCAATGTTGCCTGGAGGGGGGGGAGGGAGAAGGGTAATAGAGGCTTGTTCTTCTGTCTATGATCTTGATCTATGGGGGAAAGTGATTGTTTGGGAAGTGATTCACACCTGACTACTGATAGGGAATGCTTTGGGGACAGATAGAGATGCTGACACAAAGTTATGAGGTAAATGGTTTAAGGCTTTGTGGCTACTGTGAATTAACATAGTTTGAATGTCAAGGCCCGGGACCCTTCCACTAAATAGAGATCGCTGAGCAACTACTGAGCAATGAAAAATTAGATATGTGTGACCCTTCATTTCATACTTGGAACATGATGCACAATGCAAGAGTATGACTTAAAACACACAAAACATGAAAAAAAATGTTGTTTGAAATTCATTGATCTACCAAATCTACCTTTAGTTAATTGTGTCCAAATAAGGAAAGCCGTACTGACCGGTCTCGCTTGCGGTTTCTCCCTTCATGGAGCTCCCGTCGCAGCTTTGGGGTCGAAGGTCAACTGGTGAACCGCAGGCGCTGTTTGCACGAACCTCCCTGTCGCTATCGCCACGCCCGCTGTCATGGTTACTGAGTACCGTGTTCAGGCTGTCGTCTGATGTGTTTTGACCTTTTAGTCTCGTCAAGAGTCGGGAGACCTGAAGTAAAAACATTAAAGAATTCAATTATCCATTGATTATACACTACCATAAACATCAACTTAACTGCACAAAGATCACAAATGTCAGAAAAAGAGTTGAACACTAAGTCTGCAGAATAACAAGCAATGTCAGATGTTCAACTTTTGCAGTATGGCTGCTCAGAGCAATCGAGATGTTACCATAAATTATGCCACCATCCTGTTATCCAAACTTTCTGTTGACTTTAAGATGGTTACCACTTATAAGCCTTCAAAGCACCCTGTGTGGCATAGAAAAAATGAATACCTCTTGCCCCTTCCACCCCATAAAGGCACCAACCCGTCACTAAACACCCTTGGCATTTTCAGCTTTGAAAAGCGAGCAAATGTGTCTGTGAGTGGGGAGATCGTGTAACCGACAAATGGACAAGCGCCGAGAAACGTAAGAGGTTTGACATTTGGGATGATTGCTTCCTCCTCTCACTTTCAAATGTTTCTGCAGATTAAGGAAGGTTGCTGTATTTCACAATAAAGGTAGAATTGCACACCTTGGTCCTTTTAGTTGCCCTTTTAAAGATCACATGGAAAGAATCATGTGTTGGTTTCTCAGGTTTTTGCAGCCATGCTACTGCGGAAGATGGTAGCTGGGCTGCTGTTAAAACAGTTCGTTTTTCTCAGTTGTTTGTCATCAAAACAAAGACCAGGAGTTTATACAGTCTTAAGAGAGATGCCTCATAGTGACCATCTGTCTTTTCAAAACAAGTACAGCCTCTCAATGACTAACAGGTGGTTTCAAGTCGGTCAGGAAGATGGTAAAAATCTTACTTAGTTGGAAAAATTCTCTAGCAAATTAGAAATACAAAAGATATATCTTGTCTTGAAAGTTCTTCTGTGTTGGTATAAATCGTTATGATGCAAGTTTCCAACACAATTTCCAACACCAAATTTTTCACTGTACATGTACAACTTCCTTGACAAAGACTGAAGCCATACAGTTGAAGATCTGTCAGTGAGTACATCCAACTCCTTGTATTGGAAATTACAGTTTAAACTTGCTTCATCAAACAAACATTTGCAGTAGCATGATTTTGTGGGAAGGGGTCACGAAAATGAAATCGCCTTGAACTTTCCAAGATATTACAATATCATGAAAAGAAGTCTTTTTATTTCCTTAAGGTTATTTGCCAGATGGATGAAGAGATTGACAGGTTGGGAAGTGTTCTGGCCCATGACATGTTATCTCTCAATCCTTAATTTTTCACCAGGGCTGGCTCAGCTTGGTCGTTAGCCATCCTGATGTAATTTGTGGGCTGTGCTAAACCCCCAGACAGACCCCGGGGACTAGGTGATATCAATCAGCTAAGCAAACAACAGACCTTTTTCCTATAGTTGGGTTTTCCCCATCATATTGAAAGAAAGCAGATACTATATCCTCCAGATTACAATAATTTGATTAGCCCCCTTGTTTTTACTTTCCTTTCATAAGGCCACACCAATTTAATTTGTTGGTTCTCGGATTTGCCTCTTCGTTTTTTTCTGATTTGCAAAAAAAAAATTGATTCTGGTCCTGAATCAACTGAAAAATGCTCATGTTTTGCCCCCCAACAGTTGAGGAAAGTCCTTTTCTTCCTAGTTGTTACAGTTTTCTCATCTATCATTGCAGTGGTTTGATTAAAAGTTCAAAAATTCAAAGTTTAAATTTAACCCAGCCTTTTGTGTTGACTTCATGGCTCATTTTGTAGCATTTAAGCCTATAATAGGATGCCTAGACCTGTTTTTATTTTTATTTTTTTTCGCCCTGTCGCTTCATATTTTGTCTGAAAAAATCCGAGAACCAACAAATTAAATTGGTGTGGCCTAAGGAAAGGATTGTGACTAAATGAAAGCAAGCTAAGGCTCTTAAAAGATTAAGGCCTAACATCTTTATCTGTTTTTCTATTCAAAGCACTGAATATTGCAAAGACCAAATGCAATTGCAAATATGTCTTTTCTTGTATAGTGTACTTTTCTCTCACATTATAAAAAAGGCACTGCAGACAAATCCTCTGAAATCTTATCCAAGCTGTTATCCCTGACTTTCAGGAAAGAAGGGGGGAAAGTGCAAGCTCTCAAAAACTTTAAGATGAGATGAAGAGAAAGCAATACATCTTCAATCAGCCCAATCTTTTTTTTTTCCTTTTTCAATCCAAACCACTTCATCAAGCACTTCAACTTCAAGACTGATAAGTGTCCTTTTACTGAGTGGTAAAGTTAAAGTTATATAAGAGTCTGAGGTTTAATACAGGAGTCAGTAGGAGTAGCCAAACTGGTGCCAGTGACGCACACGACAAATGAAGAAAAGGGTGCTGGTGTCACCAACATGAAAGCAGATCTGACAGTGCACTGCCATTAGGAGAGAGAAGAGAAATGTCCAGACTGTGCTTGATGTACGAAATGAAAAATATTCTAGTAAGCATCTTTAATCCTGAAGCCTATAAAAGAAAAAGAAACAGCCACAAACTACCATTTCAAGTTTCAGTGGATGCAGTAGAGGTAATTCACAATCAGGACCAGGTTCATAGCTTGATGTGCTCAATTCTACTGCGTCAACACAGTACCGGTAATATGTAGGTTTTGTCCCTTGCCTTCTGCTTTTATGCTATTTGCTTGCTATTTATATATCTTCACTATGAAATGACCGACACCAAAGGAAATGAATTGGTATGGCCAGAGCAATTAACACATAAAATAATTAGAACCCGAGATTTGAACCCTTGACCTTCTGGTCAAGAATCAGGGTCATTCAATCTGCTGACAAGCGACAAAAGCTACACCCTGACTGCAGACCTTGACACTGAGCGGACGCCCTCCCACCTTCTCTTTGCCTTCCCACCTTCTCCCCACCCACTTTACAACCTCATCAATCATGCTACTGTCGAAGGAGGTAGACCTTTATGTCAAAAATCAATACCTGTTATTTAAGACCCGGTGTGCCTCTACTTTTATGAGCGAGTTCCTTTGCCCAAAGAAGGCACTCCAGGATTAATTACTACAACTTTAACCTTTCACGATGTCCCACCGGGCCACCAGAGCTGTAAAATTGTAGTTCACTCCTGTTGGTTTCCTCGGCAAAACATGATTTATTTTCCATTGACTTTCTTGGCAAGAAATAGCAAAAACCTTGGTTTGCAACAGGCAGTGTGCAATATTTTTATTAACAATTTTTGGTGTTATGCATCAGTGCTACATTTTTTTGTGTATTAGCAATTGCCATTTGGATGCTTTGTGAGCCACAATCTGATCGTTGCTATCTTTTTGCAATAAGTGCTTATTCTTTTAATCATCTATCATTTTGTAAACATATTGGTATTGCTGTTTGCCTCTGGTAATCAGTTTGATGGATGATGTGGCAGTCTGTTTTCCAATCAAATCAATCCTTATACTCGGGTCATTCTAAACTTTCCAAGTGTTTTTTTTGCAAAACAAACAATCAGAAAGTAACTGTAACAGATTGTACCTGGAATATGTTTGTGGTATTTTGTAATCGTGGCAGATTGTGGGGTTGAAACAACATCATGCCAAGGGTTCTATCTTGTTGCTGAGTCTAGACTTATTCGACCGGAAAAATCATTGAAAAATGGTAGACCGACATCAATAGATGGAAATTTGATTGTATCAACTAAATTGTCCCAGAGCGAATCCATGATGGTTTTCCCAAACCCCGTTAGTATCTATACTCAAATCACATCCCTAATTATTCATCAATCAGTGCGCTTGGCAGCCTCTGGGGCCTTGGCTGACACTTCTTCATATTTCCTATACACTTAAAAGGAAATCAAATTTTAGCATTTGCAGAAATTATCGATAAGTCACGATTTTCCATTATCATCAATATTTTGTATCACTGCTGTGATTTGTTATGTGAGGGAGGTGTAATGCATGGGAAAGTAACGTTATCATATAATTCAAAGCAATATTACAAAACCTATTCATACAATGGGAAACTAGGTAACTTGTCAATCAATTGACCCAAATCAAGCAGTGTGCCAAAACCATCCATCTAGCATTGCAAAGATAGATAGTGTACAAGAAGAAAACATGCTTATCCCACACAAGGATACAGCATCAATTCCTTCCAACAATATTACAGCGTCTAACGATGTACCGTGGGTAATTGATCGATTGATTGACAGATAAATCAAAGCATACGCCGAAGCTACCCCGGGACCACCTCGCGATGGTAAAGACGAATCATGCTGCAAATTGGATCCTGTTTCCCCTACCCCTCTGGGACGCGCCCGATCATTTGGGGAGGGCGGGTGGAAACACGGGATCAGACAGACCCAACTTCGAGGGATCAAACCCTCTCATATCTGTCACGCTGGATCTTGCCAATGGTTTTGTATGTTATTGTTCAACTCAAGACCATTTAAGCATATTAAGATAACTAAACTGTAACACTCATATTGCTACCACCAGCTAAATGATTAGAATTATTGAACATTTACCTTCAGCTCCAAGGGATCAAAGCCTCTTTTCGTATTTGTCACACTGGATCAAGTGTTGCAAGTGAGTTGCAATTGCCGACCCTCCAAAATTTACCGTAAAGCGTTGCAAGGATACCCCCATGCAGACCCTCATTTAAGTCTTTTAGGGATGGTATGCATATTTGTAAATCATTGATTGTAACACTTACTCACTTTGGGCATCTTATTTGGTCAACTTAGTGGTTAGAATCATCAAACAGCTACCGACAACTCAGTAGGAGCTAATCCTCCCCTATCAGTCACGGGAGATCAAACTGTCAAAGTTCATTTGCATATCGTTGTTCCACCCGAGACCACTTAACTCTTTTACCATAAAATACGTTATGTAAGCCATCGATTATGACACTTTTGCACCATATGGCAGTTCAACGTGAACTAGTTTTACCATCAGCGGAACGATTAGAATTACTGATGGTCCTTATTTGCATGTTCTTGCCCATATGGGCTAGATACAGTACATGTAGTTAATATGTTATTACATAAAGACTAATGG